AGGTTTACCATGATAAGTCTTTCGATGCAAAGTCTACGAGACCGCCATTCCTGGACCCTTTTTAGGATCACCCAAGATCAACTAGCCGACATCGGGGCTCTCGAGAAAATGCTTATAGCTCCTGAGTTGTAGGAGATAGCGAGTTAAGACTGGTCTAGAATTGTAGATCTCGGTTCGGGCTATCGATTGCACTGTTTGAACATCAAAATCCATCGTAGGGTCCAGGAATGGCGGTCTCGTAGACTTTGCATCGAAAGACTTATCATGGTAAACCTTATCTGGAAGCCTAGTTTTTACATACACTTACGTCCTCCGATGTTCTCTATCCAACAGTGAAAACCGCATGTCTTCGTTCAAATGTGATAAGCATTCTGCCGAGCCGTCTCGTTTTCAGAAAAGGATAATACCTTCTTTCTTTTTTACAAATTAAGAACAGCGCTATTAAGAGTATATCATTCGTTAAAAGCTACCTGTTTAGCTGTATCACGTTTTTTCGAGTATGAGTAGCTTTAGAATTAATTTCGATTTTTATACTTTTACTCGTTTAAGAACGATATACCGTCCGTGAAGTTCGTATTCATGTACGTCATGTAAATGAACTAATTCATGCTTGTGATCCCGTTGATCTGTATAATGGTACAAATGGTTATTCGTTGTGTGTGGTGAATGACATCACAAATGGAGATATCTTTTCATCATCTACATCAAATTCGAATGGTAAATAGATAATTCACTGAATGTGTAATTTCGTTATATTCTAATCTTTTATCTTTCTGGTTTGATTTATATTTGTAGAGCGACGCTTTCCACGTCAAGACTCGTCACTGAAATCGGATGTATTAAATTCATCATCTTCATCTTCAAATGGAATCGAATTTAATGTACCCGAATATCTATTACCAAACCAAAAAGATATTTTCCTAGCACCGTTATTTACGACAAACATAAAAATTAGAGTATGATGAATTTATTAGTTTTATTCTTTAGGCTAATGTGAACGAATAATTCAAAGTAAAACTATTCTAACTTTTATCGTTTGTCATTTTTATTTTTTATTTAGCCGTTACAATGTCTGAAAGTATTATCCTATAGTGGATGGAATCCTCCTACAGGCTCTCGAAAATTACACGGTATGACTGTGTCTCAATTTTTAATCATCAGAATCATCATTTAATACATTTTTAATCATCAGATTATTTTATGTTTTTATGTGTATAGGTGATTTAATGTATTTACAAGTAACAACATGTGAAGAGAAACCATTTCATATAACAGCTTGTACCAAAGGCTTTTTTGTTAGTCAAACAACTGATGAACGATTTATGCCAAAACCTGTGCAACCTAAACAAGTTTATCATTCTCTAGTTGATTTATTAAATAGTGTATGTATATACAACATAGTCTAGATAGAAATTTATATAACGATAACATCGTATCTTGTACATTTTTTATAGATTAGTCCAATATTTAAAAAAAATTTTCAATCGATTCAACGTCGACGATGTACAAAGCATCCATTTGAACGAATTCAAATTCCATATCAGATCCATCCATGGTTATCACCACGTTTTGAACATACAATAGATTTTTTTCGCGCTGAAGATGGTTAGTATAGTCTTTCAATGCCAATATATCACTGGAAGATGGTTGTAAAAAGAATAGTTTGTTTCACTGCTTTTCAAGAACAATCAATCATCCAATTCTCATATTAACAATTTATTTATTTAGCTAACATTAATAAATTGGGTCACGAAGATCATATACCTGGTCAAGTTCGTGATTGGAATGAAGAATTACAAATAACAAAAGAATTGCCGAAAAGAAGTTTACCAGAAAGATTAGTTCGAGAACGGGCAATGTTTAAAGTAAGTAAATATTTTTCTATACTTCTTTTGGAGTATAACACCATTTTAACTCTATCATTTTAGGTTCATTGTGATTTTGTATCAGCAGCTATACGTGGATGTCAAGCTGTTGTAGATGGAAATATAATGGCAATTAATCCAGGAGAAGAATCAAAGTAATGGCAACAATTCTTACTCAAATATTTTATTCTCATCTTTTTTGTTTCTTTTTAGAGTTCACATGTTTATTTGGAATAATATGTTTTTTAGTCTTGGTTTTGATGTTAAAGATCATTATAAAGATTTTGGAGGTGATGCAGCTGCACATGTGGCACCGGTAGGTCGATCAGAGTTTCTTGTTGATCTACTATACATTTTAAAATTTCTTGTTTTCACTATTTTAAGACAAATGATTTACAAGGTGTTCGAGCAATAAACACGTTAGATATCGATGGTTTACACACACTTGGTACAGTTGTTGTCGATTATAAAGGATTACGAGTTACAGCACAATCTATTGTACCAGGTATGTTGAAAATAGCAAAAAAAAGAATATATATATAGAATTGATTGAGAAAGTTAAATAAGTTCTTATTTTGTCTTATGTATTTGTAATGTAAACCAATGTATGCCCCTTGATTTTTCACATGTAGACATAACACAGTCATAGTTAGTCATGGCTTAAACATAAGACATATGTTAAGATAATATATATGCTTCTGAACCAAATGTTTCTTCTCGAATGGAAGAAACATTTGTTATTCAATATTATACTTGATCAGTGATACGAATAAGATACTGCATTTGAAGATGTAAAATTCTTGATCAATTATATCTTAAAATTGAAGAGTGATCTACCCTATCCATCAGATACTATGTTTTATTTACTATTCGGAGTGAAACATTATTTTACAAAATTTTGTTGAAAATCATTAAATTTGTTGCGACTATACTATCGAAGGCTAGTCAAGAGGAAACAGTGATATTGGGTAATGAAACAAAAAAATTTTTGATCTTTCTTAACTAGAATCAAAGCTAGAACCGGTTGAGAAGCGGTGAACCGGTCCGATCCGGCGGGTCTGAAAGTGTAACCGAACCGGTCAGGTCGGTAAACTGGTCGGTTGGAATTATAACTCAAACCGGTGAAAAACGGGTGAGGTTTTTTGAAAATCGATTTTCAGAAAGAATTTTCTCCAGAAATTAAATAGTTTGCGAGCACATGTAAGAGAACCTTCACAATAACGAGTCTATAACATTTAATCTTAAAACAAGTGATGAAAAAAGTGATAGTTTCAAAAGTTACAACCGATAAAATACCGGTCTCTATCTGTCCGGTTGACTTATTCAACTGGTACCGGTTTATCGAACCAGCTCTAACTAGAATAGATGTCTTAGCAGTCTTTTTTTTTTTTGGCAACTATTTCGAAATAAAGATGAGTACACAAACACTTTTGAATTATTGTTCGAAAGATGATGGAATCTGACAAATCTTTTTATATTTTACGGTGTTATAATGATGATAATTTCAATTGTTTCGAACAAGAAAAATAGAAGCTTGATCATCGTTAATCGATACATGTTTTGACCATAAATGTCAAAAATCCTCATTAATCACGACAAATGTTGTATCTTATTTATAGTCTGTATTCTCAACTATCGCACTTTCAATTTTTCTACCTGATACAAATTGAATCGTTCCATCATTTCGTCGTCTTGTTATCGTCAATTATCCTGTTCAACCGTTATTCATCGACATCAATATCTCAGTTCGTTATCTTTGAATACTCTCTATAATTCTTATTCCGATACATCAGGCGAATATTGATTAAGAATCTTTACCACCGTTGCCCTATCTGTGTGTTAAAGATAATTTTTGTGTAGTAGAATATCTTCAACTATTGAATTTCTCCACCATAACTATCATTAGATTGGTTCAGTTCAATTATGATTATCAGCCAGGTTCTTCGTTACATAAACTGAGTGTCTATGATCAATGGAATAAATATTATTCACCATTTTATAAATATTTGTAATCGACTCTATCTGCAAGATAACATTCAGCATGTGCCTCTTAATGGGTGTGTATAGTCAAGTCAAACGTGCTGATCGTAAATAGAATCGTTTCGGCTAGATGGCTGTTGAGTTAACAGGTTTTGTTTTGTTCGTGTAAAAAAGAAGACCTACATGTTTAATTGATCGTATTTTTGACTGGAACGTCATGTTACAAAACTCAGCTAACTTTTTACCATTAATCATGATTTCTATAATGGATCATAAAAAAAACGCTGAGAGATTTCGATTAATCGACGGTTTTTGCTAAAATCACAAGTGATCGTCAATTTTTCCAAAATCGCGATTAATTGAACATTTTTTCTCAATTTTTACGGCACAGGTATAGATAAATCTAATGCAGGATATAGTTTTGTAGAGAAATGCCTGAGCCGTAATTCCATATGTATTTCAGTTCTATATCAACTCTTTTGCAGAGGTTATCGGATTAAAGTGTGGAACCGTTAATAAAATATTTTAACTTTGCCACATAGTCCTAAAAAATAAAGTGGCGGACAAATGTTTAAGCTCACTTTTACTTCTGAATTTTCTTGTGAACGAAAGTAGCTAGAAGATATCCGACAACTACAGATTTGTGTAGAGAGCACTTGAGAATAACTAGACACATAATAAACAAATTTGAATCTAAATTTAATCGAATTAAAAAGATGAACTTTTAATAATTTAAAAGCCTAAAATTTTAAAATATTTTTAGATTAGTTAAAAATCATTTTGACCATTCAGTAAGCTAAAGCAGACTTTTCTCATAAAAATGAGACGTTTCACAGATTTCTGCGATCTTTCTTGACCAACCTATGAAGTTTCCACGGAAAGCACCAAACAGAAAAAATCCAGCAGATTTGCTAAAAGAAAGCGTTTTTAGCGCAAAAAAAGACGGTGACTTTTAACTAATTTTCAAATATTTTAAAATTTTAGGCTTTTAAATTATTAAAAGTTCATCTTTTTAATTCGACCAATTAATACCCCAAAACCTTTCATATTCGCATGTCATTCTAATTTCTAAAATCTCCGATAACTTTCACAAGAAACATGCTGAGATACATATGGAAAATTGTAGCTCAGATGTTGCTGTACATCACTAAATATTTTATGAGTTTCATCTATCGTTCGTGCCAGAAAAAGGCACGATCGATTAATGGTGAGTTGTTTATGGGATTCATCAAACACATTCGAAACTCTCACACATATATCCCACATATAGACTCTTTTTACGGAAAAATAAATAATCGTTTATAGTATGAATCCAAATAGTTTGGTGCTTTCCTTAAAAGTGGTGCTGTTGTCATCTGTCGAGCAGTTCTGTTTAGTTATAAATATCTCTTTTCAATTTTCATCTATCTTCTTTGAAGAACCAATTCATCATCATTAACAATGTACATTTAACCTGCTAAATGCCATACAACGTTTATCTTATATTTTATTATAAAATATAAATAAATTACCAAATTAAATAGTGTGTTATTGTGATGTGTGTTAGCGATAACTCGATATTATCAAAAAAATGTTAAAAAGTTTTCGTTAAGAGAGTCTCATCATGACACAGAGTCAAGTGCACTCGAACTTACTTTCGGACTTTGATGAATTTAGACGTACGATTTTGAAATCATTACCAGAATTAGACTAAAAACTTTTTCAGTTCGTGCCCACGCGAAAATTTTCTTGGTTAGATAAGAGCAGTTAAACTATGAAATGTGAGAAATTAATAATTGGAATATGACCATATGCTAAAATTTCATCCTCTATTTCGTAGTTTACGCTAAGTTTATAGCGTATTCCATGGCGGAGATGAATTAGGAATTAAATTTTCATTTGCTCATTAATAAGAATAAAATTCACAGTTGTCAAGCAAACTTAGAACACTAGTAAAGACTTTGACTTAGTACTGTTTGACTACTATTATTAAGCGGTATAGAGAATTTCAGAGCGCCAAAAACAAAAATGTGCTCTATTTTCCACTAAAAGCTCAAATGAACGAGATTTTTACTCTTTAATTGTTTCTTTAATGACAAGTGGTAGTAACTTTCGTTCATATGCAGCAAAAAGCTAAACAACAACTCTTATTGCTCTTTCTAGCCGAGAAAAAATTATTTTTAAGTTGTACTTTAGTGTCAACACACAGAATATGGACTTGAACTTAGAAGTGATCCAACTTGTCTATTACTAATCTTAATAAACACCAACAAAAATAACAGACAAATTGTTTGAGATTTTAGATAAATTGTTCTTAATTCATAAGTTTTAAAATTAAACTACTATGTTTTCGAGAAGGTTTTGGACTTCTCTGTTAATAATCTTTCTCTTTACTTATACTGCGATCCCATAGTTGTCTCCTTGTTCTACATTTGCTATGATTTTATTGTAATAAAGTTAAACTGACAGTTTATATCTTTGCTCAATTTTTATCAGCCTTTTTCTGCTAATAATTAGTGAAGAATGACAAAAAACTCAAATTTTTTTAGGTATACTTGAGAAAGAACAAGAACAAAGTGTTGTTTATGGGTCCACTGATTTTGGAAAAACTTGTACAACGAGCGAAAAATATCGAGAGTTGGTAAGTCGATTAATTCAGAAAAAGAGAAAAGGGATGATGACTAAGACTTATTCATTTTGTTCTCTATAGTTGGAAAAGGTAGCATCCTTACTCAAAATAAAACCACATACAATCAAAACTGAAAAAGGTGATTTAGTTGAATTATATACGGCTGTCGAATGTAAAGGAATTATTGGAAACGATGGAAGACATTATTTACTCGATTTATTGCGAATGATGCCACCAGATCTTAACTATTTACCGGGTGTGTATAGAATTCAATAACAGTTCTACAAACAGGTTTTTTCTTTCGATGATTCTGAGAAAATATCCGACTGTTTCTGCACATGGATAGATTCGCCACTTTTATTCTTCGATTAAATTTTGAAAAGAAAAAAGAACGATCGTTTCTACATTTTAGTTGAAACTGAACAATTATCTCCCGCTTTGACACAATTAGATTATCCAAAAACATTTTCACATCGTCTATGTTGTCTACGTCAAGAATTAATTGATGCGTTCATCGAGTATGTTGCAGATAAAGCATTTTAAACTTTTAGCTTAACTATATTTTATGCTTGTTGTCCTTGGTAGGCAAAAATATGTTGACTTTTATCGTTCGATTGCATTAAATTTATCAAAATTAAGAACAAGTGAGGTAAATGATGGAAAATATCAGCACTTAATTGGCTCTCCGTTTGAAGTGGTGAAGAACTACCTACCTTGCTATCGTTTTGAAATTTTGGAAGTAGATTTAGACTTAAATTTGTGAAAAATATGCTTTAAATGGGCCAACAATATAGGACATCGCCGGATTTCCTTCAATATCTGTCACCCTATGTTACCAATAGTCTATGAGTGAGGTGTGTAGCCTTGTCTCACGACGAATCTAACCAACTTATTTTGTTTTTTTGGAATCATTGGGCACTTGGTGGAAAACGGACTTTTCTGTTGACCACTTTTTCGCTATATTAATAGTAAAAATCTGGTATTGCTAAAAACGAAGTAATCTTAGAACAATCAGTTTGTAGCATCAAACAGAGAAGAATAAGGTGTACAATATCCTGAAAAGCTTTATAAGGGGAAACCTTTTCGGAATTCTGTCCATAATTCTTAAGTTTGTCAATCAGAGCTCAATTTTTAAGCAATACAAATATCATATTCGGAATCAGGATAAAAAACTGAGTCGAATAATCTGTATTTCTATCCTATCCGACTATTTAATTTTTTCGAATTTTCACGTTGAAAAATCAGCTATAGATTTTTAACATGTAAATTCTTAGTCAAACGAAAAATCAACTAAAAATTTCGAAATACAGATTAGTCGACTCGCTTTTTTATCCTGATTCCGAATATGATATTTTTATTGCTTAAAAGTTGAGTTCTGATTGAGAAAATTGAGAATTCGATGCTACAAATCGTTTGTTCTAAGATTCCTTCATTACGAGATTTTCACTATTAATATAGCGAAAATGAGAAAAGTCATCAGAAAAATCCATTTTCCACCAAGTGTCCAATGATTCCAAAGAAAAAAAAATAAGTTGGTGAGATTCGTCGTGAGACAGGACACACATCTCACTCATAGACTATTGGTAACATAGAATGGCAGATATTGAAGGAAATTCGATGAGATCTTTTGTAGTTGAGATTTCTGCTTTTCTTTTCATATCTGTTTGAATGATTAAATCATATTGATTCATTTAAATTATTACTGTTATAGTTTCTAACAAACGATACATCATCGGAACAACGAAATAATGTTGAAAAAGCAAAACGTATTGTAAATGAAATTAGTGGTAGGAGACACTTATTCCAGTAGAATAGATTAAATTTAAATTTGCACTTTTATATTTTCAGTTGAAGATAATAGCCGTGAAATTATTTTGTCAGCTTGTCGTTCAATTGGTTCAGTTAAAGAAAATGAATTTGATGTTCGATTTAATTCAGATTTATTTCAACCACATGTTACTCTAAATCAAACAGTATGTGTTTGAAGAAAAGATGGTCACATTTTACTTATATTACTCTGTTTTATTTTAAGCTTGCTGAAACTTCGGCCGATATCAAATTATTGAAAGAAGCTGGTGAATATCTTTTATTAAAACAGATTCCATTAATGTTACAAGATTTTCAAGATCATTCAGCGGTACCAGTTGATGGTGAAAGTTTATCGGAAGCCATGCATTCAAGGTAATGCCAAACGTGTAACTCTCTTATTTAAATATCCATCTCATTATTTCTCCTAGAGGTATTAATATTCGGTATCTTGGACGTGTAGCAAATTTACTTAGTCAACAACCATCATTAGAATATGTCTATGTAAGTTCTTCTATATATGCAAGGGCTCATTAGAAAACTGTCCTGACTGATACATCGTTTTTTAGCGAAAGCTATTAGGTTGTAGGTTATCGATGCTGCTGATTTCAAACATGACCATGAGAGCTCTCCTTAGGCCTTTCGAGACTGGCGTTTTGAAAAACTAGTTTTCCAAGCTAAAAACCTTTCGTCGCTAGAAAACATTTCTGATCTGTTCAGATTGTAGAGCGTGTCAAGTTGTCTATAAAACAGCAGCATATTGTTATTTTAGATCGGCTTTACTCGCGGTTATAAAGACCTGAAGTTGAAACTCTTTCTAAGTATTTATTCAAGTTCAAGTCCCCATAACAGCGGTTAAAATTGATTTGAGATGACAAAAATTAGTGTTTTATAGACAAGTCGACACGCTCTGCAATCTGAACAGATCAGAAAAACGTTTTAGTGAAAAAAGGAACCAGTTTTCCAAAATCAGTCTCAAAAGGCCTAAGAAGAGCTCTCATGGTCATATTCGGAATCAGCATCGTCGATAGCCCAATAGCTTTCGCTAAAAAAAAATGATTTATCAGTTGGGACAGTTCACTCGTTAGTCTATAGTGACTGTTCTTTATTTACATAGGAAATTGTTGTTACCGAAATATTATGTCGCTGTACAAAACATACCTTTCGTTTCTACATTCAAACAGTGCCTACTCATTTAATAGCCTATTCTATCAGCCATTTTCTTAACTGTCTACTCACCAAAACCACAACTACCATACCAGAAAATCTGAATGATGATACACCAACAATTAATCATACAAATGGAACAACGAATGGAAATGGTAATGGACTTACAATGGTAACATCAACACAAAAATCCACAAATAAAAAGAAAAACAAAAAACAACAACGAAAACATAGTCCAGTTACAATACAAAATGGTATGTAAATTATATACGACAGAAGTTTCAACTTAAATAATATCAAATCTTTTGTCTATCTAGATTCATTAGATTTTTCTTCATTAACATCAAAAACTCTTTGGATACAATTGTGTAATGAAGCTAAAACAAGATATAGTTTTGATTTAAACTGGTATGTTTAATTGTAACCCGTTGCTATAAGAATCCAAATTTTCGCGAGTGTATAAATGGTGAACGTTTGCTTTCAATTACTTTTTTTATCCTCATTTGTTTTAGTGATGACATTGATAGTTTTCAAGAACATTATCATATTCGTCGTACATGCATACTACGTTCATTTTGCCTTAAAATTGGTTTGCAGTTATCGTTAAGAGAATATCAGTTTGATTCCGTGATGTCACCGACAACAACAAAAAATACACCGACAAATTCATCTATCACACCATGTTTCAATGAGGATGATATTATCAATTTATATCCAGTTATCAAACATGTTGCACCAAAAGTGAGTTATTCAAGAGATTAGGAACGTTTTTCATGTTCAGCTCGGTCAATCTTTAGGAAAAACGTTTTGCTGTTCTTTAATACACTTTATTGAAAATGTTTGTTCATCATGTTCTGTTTTCTTTAGCCAAGTGATGCTTATCAATTTTTTACAACTGGTCAATCAAAAATTCAACAGGGTTTATTACGTGAAGGATATGAATTGATATCGGAAGCGCATAATCTTTTGAATAATGTCTATGGTCCAATGCATTCAGAAATTAGCATGTGTTTAAGATTATTAGCTAGATTAAATTATATAATGGGCGATTATCAAGAAGCACTTTATACGCAACACAAAGCTGTTATGATGTCAGAAAGAGTGCTCGGTATTGACCATCCACAAACAGCCACCGAATATGTGAGTATAATTACGATTTTCTCTGCACACGTTCTTCTCAAAAGAGTTTGCTAATTTTATCAAACGGCGCTGAGTATAAGTTGAGATTATTGGGAATAGTATCTGTTTTGAATCAGTATTCTGGCACTTGTTTTGGTTTATATAGCTTGGCAAACCTAATACTTCTATCAAATATATATTCTCTCAAACCTTATATATTTTAGATTCATATGGCATTATATTCATTTGCTAATGGACATTCAACAAACGCATCAAAATTATTATGCCGAGCAAGATATATTATTTTAGCTTGTTGTGGAGAAAATCATCCACAAATTAGTTTAATTGATGTAAGAGATGAGTATAATCAATTGAATAATCATTTTTCTATGATTCTCTTTATTTTTGCAGAGTAATCTTGGCTTGATACTACAATCACACGGAGATTATGATAATGCATTGAAGTTTATGGAAAAATCATTAGAACTAAATAAAAAGTATGTAAAAACCGATTGGTTTTCAAACGTACATACATTATTCTACTTTTGACATAGTCATACGTTTGTTTTTACATTAAATAATTAGAAATTCTTAGGGTCGGATTGCTATGCAACACTGTGCTTTAGCTTGAGTGTCCAGTCAAAAAAAATATCAAGAGGTATGACGGAGCACTCTCTATGAAAAGAGTACTCCTTTCTTTTTTTCCAAAAAGAGTTCTCCATCACACCCCTCCTGATATTTTTTTTTGACTAGGTGATGTTAAAGATGTATCGAACGTATGCATACTTCAATAGTATATTAATGCACAGAATTAATCTTACATTTCAGCAATATTTTTTACCTTAATGTTTAGATTTTATGGTGCTAAAAGTTTAAAAGTAGCTTTATCTCATCATCTATGTGCTCGAATTCAATCATGTCGTGGTGATTTTCGTTCAGCATTAAGCAGTGAACGTGAAGCATATCAAATTTATAAATTACAAGTAAGATATTTCTACTATCTCTCCTTTTGAGTTAGAATCATTACTTCTTCATCTTTGTTTTTGCGTTCAGCTGGGCGATGATCATGAGCGTACACGTGAAAGTGCTCAAGTACTGAAACATTTAACCGAACAAGCTGTTGTATTACAAAAACGAATGAATGATGTTGTTAAAGGACAACTAATTTTATTTCCAAGCATAACGGTATAATAATACTGACGCAGAAAACTTTCACTCATCTCCTAAGTCTTGTTTTGACTTTTTAGATTCAACAACCAAGTTTTCAAAATGTTCTTGAAATGTTAAATGTTGTAAATGGTATATTATTTATACAAATCAGGTAATTAAAATTATATTTCCTTCTATTTTCATTTATTATTTTGTATTTTAGGGAAAAAGATTTGGATTTATTACGTGAAGAATTAGCTAAACAATCGTTAGTAGAAGAACATCCACAACAACAATCAGAACAGATACTTTCACCAGCCATTTTAGCAGCAAACGAAGCAGAAGCATTAATGAATGAAATTGATTGAAACATCGACCAACATTTTGCAACGAAATGAATTTATTTTTGTTTGCCTGTCCAATTTTCTTCATCTGTGCGCTAGTTCTAGAAAAAAATTTTTGTGTTTTTCTATTTGTGTAATTCATATCTTTGGTTATTGTTCTTTTGTCCTTTTTTTATCGCTCTGTTTTGAAAGCTTAGAAGATATGATCTAGTCTTTGTTTTTCTTTAAACAAAAAAGTTTTTTGTCTAAACCCATTCTAAAGATCGTTCTACTTTAGAAATAGTCTTCTCTCTTTTTTTCCAGTGCATGTTTTGGATTTGTTTTTGCTGTTGTTTTCGAGATTTTTTTATTATTACTACATACATGCACTATTTGTCTCGTTTTTATTCAGGTAAATATATAAAAACACGTTGGTCATGTATCCCATTTGTTTTTCCACTTTTGCCATGCGTTATTGGACTCTTTCATTTTGTTTGTTTGTTTTTCTGAACATGTTTATTTAATCTTTGATTGTTTCGTTTTCCGTTCAATGTGTGTGTGTTTTTGTTTTCTATTTTTCTGAAATAAACTTTGAAAGGTAAAAATCTTGAAAATAAGGAACGCAATTAGTCTCTGGTCGTTGGATATTTTGTATTAATCGATGGATATTTTGTATAAATGGAAAGGTCTAGTAATAGACTGTAAGGAAATAGTCCAGAAGATTAATTGTGTATGTGTCCGTCCACAAACCATGGAAAAATGATAAGTATTATTCTTAATATTTAATTAATAATTATTGTTAGATATGCTTAAAAATAAAGTTTACTTACGATCTATTGTTCTTGAAAATGAATAAGGGATGATGAATGATGCATAATGAATATGAATACCATATTAGTGAAGGCTTAATTCATTTTGAACTTCATTGTCAATGTTTACAAAACTAATCGAGTTAGAGTATAAGTGATTAACACAATAGACTTATAAGATTACATTGCTTAACTTATGTTTAATTGGAAACATCGTGAACAATATCTGAGCAAGTAAAATTTGACAATCAATTTAAATTCCTGCAATGGAAGCGAAAAGCTTGTATTTTACTGACTTCAAGTTGTGATATGGACACCCTAAATCTCAAAAATGAAAAGGGACCCGTTTCTAAAACATAGATCAATTTATAGTACAACTCATGTATTTCAAACTGGTATGGAAAATGGAAAAGAGTCCTCTCTAATTAATGAAATTTTAATTCGGAAAGTATGCAGCATATAGAATAAATTTACAGTGATCCCTCTTTTAGATATAGGATATTTAAATATTCAATGGAAATTTATAATTTGTCCTTTTCTATCGCGAAAGATAAAGTTCTACACACATGTACGGGCACATAAGAAAACTAAAATCAAAGAAAAGGCATCTTTGATATTTAGAGTCGAACGATCGTAGAAGTACAGTGTTGCATACCGTGAAAATCTACAGAGGAGTCCTAAATGTCGCGACCCCGACGGTATCTTTGCGTCGTACAACATAACTCATCGCGCTGATTCCAAATATGTATAAATCTCGAGAGTCACTTCTC